GGCGGCTTCCCAGGGTGCGTCATGCTTGTGATGAGCACAAGGCCCCCTGGCCCGCGAGCCGCTTGAGACAGAGGGTGGGGGAGTGTGGAGTTGGACGGGGGGCCATGTGAGGAGCCCGGAGTGTGACCCCGACCGTGCAGGGACGGGAGAGCCCAAGTCCAGGCAGAGGGCCAGTGGCATCTCCCCCAGGGATTAGCGTGTGGGGAAGGAGCTCCATGCAGAATGAGGGAGACGCAGCTGGAGGTGACATTGCACAAGGTGGCATCACCTGGGAAAGCCTGTGTATGTGCAGGCCAGGGGCCAGGCCCCATCTTCAAAGAGCCTGGTGTGCCATGGGGTGCCCCTAGAATGGGTGGAGAGCCTTGTAGAGGGACGGCGCACACACGGGGACAGTGATGGAGCACGTAGGGGGCAGCCTGGGGCCGGAGGCTTTGGCTGGGATGTGGGGGGAGGAAGAGAAGCCGTGGTACGGAGGATGGACAGATGGGTGGTCTGGGCTTGCTGACCCACCCCCTGGGGAGGCGTTGAGGCCAGAGCCCACCCAGTGGCTCTGGTACCCGCAGTGCAGGCTGTCAGCCTGCGCAGGGGAATTGCAGACCCTGGTGCCTGGGGATAGGGTAGGTGGCTGCTGGGCTTGGGCTCTGCTGAGCTGGAAGCCCCTGGGGTCCTCGGTGGGGTGCTGGGGGGCAGCACCAGAACCACTTCGACCCCAGAGTAGCCGACAGCAGGCTGCCAGCCACCCCCACCTGGAAGGAGCCCTGGGTGCTGGCACCTCTCTCCTACCTTGGCTCACGGCGGGGTGTGTGTGGCCACGACACCTCGGGCTTGTGAGCCCTGGGTGCCCTGAGCCTGCGGAAGCCGTGGGTGCTCGGGTGGCAGGGAAGAACCGGGCATTGGGAGCAGAGCCCAGAGGAACGGAGCCGTGGCCTGCGACCTGCATGCCCCTCTGTCGTTCCACTCAAGGACACGTGGTGCGGCCACCTGCATGTCTCCCAGACGCTGCCTGCTGGAGCATGGGTCGCCAGCCACTTTCCTGAGCCGGCTGGCTTCAGGGGGAATGAGACAATCACCGGGTTTGGAGAAGGAACCCTCCCCAAGCAGGGCCTGTGGCGCCCCACACTCTGGTGCCCCCTGCCCCCTTCTTGGAGCCCTGGGGCCCACGTGGCTCTGCTGTTCACCCTTCACCCAGGCCCCGGCCTCATGGAGCATCCACTGAACGCTAGCACGAACACAGGCCAGTGTGTGTGCCTCAGCAGTTTGCCCCCAAGCGTGTGACACCCTTGCACCGAGGCTTTCCGCCACGCCACAGGGACGTGGACCCGCGCTTGGGCAGAGACAAGGCTCCAGAACCTTAGAATGGACAGAGGAGGAGGGGCTCGATGGGCCTGACGCTTGGACAGGCTGTTGTCTGCCGCAACGATGGCTCTTTCAGAAACCCCAATACTGTCCGTACAGCACTGGTCTAGGCAGAAGGAGCCACGGAGCCGGTGCTCAGTTGTTCACCGGCACGTCGGCGTCTGATGGACGCCCGCCCCTCCTGAGCCTCGTCCCTCCCCCTTCACTGGGTGCCATCAGGGTCCAGCGGGCACTGGGGCGACCGCCACCAGCCCACAGCTCCAACCGACTCGATGACGCCTGCCATCCCATCAGGGTGGGGCTCCAAGATGGCGGGCGGGTGCAGGGGTCGCTCTGTGCACCGGGTGTGGGAAGGCACGCCCGAGAGAATGGGTGGAATGTGGGTACCTGCTGCACACGCAGTGCGGGTCTGGAGGACCGGCTTGGGGCCGGGCGTGCTCCCCGAGTGCCCGCCCCACCCGGCTGTTCTCTGCCGCCACCTCACTGGGTCTTTCTCATGAAAGTTGTACCTGCCCGTCGTCGGAAACCGAAACGTTTATTTTGGTTTTCGATTTCATAGGGAACTTTTGAAAAATAAATAAACGCTGAAGGAAATGGGTCATTTATAATCCCCACCCCCTGACGCCTGTGCTACGCTTTTCTCCTGCGCCCTCCCAGCCGTGCTGCGTGTGACCTGATTTATTTTCAGACCAGGGTTAGAATCACTAAGTGAGAAATTTGGGGACTATGATCTGGAGTTTTGGCAAGTGTGTTTTTCCAGCCCAGAACATTCCAACTCGCAGTCCCGCGAGGGTGTCTGTGCTGCCCTTACGGCGGTCTGGGAAGCAGGGCTTGGACGGGAGGATTATTTCCAGGACCGGGGCGTGTCGTGTCGTGGGAACCGCGCTCTGCTGGGTGGAGGTCTGCGCCCTCCAGGCTCGGGCCGGCACTGGGCCGACAGAGCAGTGCTTGACGGTCCCGCGCTGGGCGCTGGGGGATGGTGTGTGGGTGGGGAGTCGGCGCTGCTGGGACAGAGGCCCTGAAACAGCGCACCTGGAAGAACGTAGGGTCTTCTTGTGAGCGTGTGTCCTGGGCTGGGAGGCTGTCCCACGTGGCCCTTCCACCTGGTGCCCCCACTGCGCCTTGCTGCCCGCGGTCAGCGTCACAGTCACGCAAAGGGAGTCTGTGAGAACGTGGCCACGTGGTCACATCTACCCACGAAGGAGGCCTGGGGCTGCGGCCCACGACAGACGGCGCTGTTCCCTTCCCTGTGTTTGCTGAGGGCTCTCCTTGTAGGCGCCTACCTCGCTGCCATCTGGCTGGGATGGTGATGCACCCGCGTGCCGGAGTGCACGCATCCTCTGAGGGTGTGTGGGCAGGGCATGTGTGCTCCCCCGTGTCGGTGGTCTTGTCTCATGTGGCCGTTGCTCTGTGTGCCACCAGAAAGGTTATGGTACCAGTCGCACGGGGGATGGTGGTCTCAGATGATCGTCCATGTGGCCGACCCGTGCTGGCCCCCCCACCCCCGAGCCCATCCCTGCTCCTTCTTGTGAACACAACCCGGATCCCCAGCCCCTCCCCGTTAGTGCCCACCCTCTCAGCAGTGGCTCCGTGAACGTCTGACCTGCTTGGGTCAATGCAGCAAGAAGCAAGAAGCTTCTAGAAGATTTTCCTGCTGATACAGCTGCAGGAGGAAGAAGTGGGTTCTCTTCCTGCTGATGGCGTGGGGAGACATTTGGTGACTCCCGGAACCACGCAGCTACTGAGCCACCAGGAGGGACTGAGGTCGCCAGAGCAGGAGGTGGGAATGAGCCCAGGTCCCTGACCCACATCTTGGCAGCGGAATCCCAGTAGCCCTCAGCCCACTCCGCTTGGGTTTGCCAATGTTGGGGGTTCAAAGCATCTGAAGGGACACTGTAGGCCTGGAGTGTCGCCGAGTAATTCTGCAAACCAAAGGCCTCCAGTTCCATGCCTGGGGTTTTGGAAGGAGGAAATGATCCCATTGTAAAGTGGAAAATTGTCTAAAATGGGAATGAAAGGCATGTAGATTACGTGCATCACAGGGTAAAGGACATAAATGTGAAAGAGAATTAGGTCGGCACAACAGGGTATCGAGAAAAATAATGCCTGTCATGGCGGCCCTGGGCACAGGGGGCCCGGGCTCTCATGGCGGCAGCAACCGCATGTGGCGTTTGGGTGACCTGCCCCACGTCTTGCTGCGGGGAAGACCCAGCGTGGGCCGTGGGGGCCAGGACTCCATTCCTGCCAGGGGCTCGGGGAGGGAACACGTGTTCTCCAGGCCCCCCACCAGCCGCAACTCTTGGGTGGTGGTGGCGTCGCTTGGCTGTTTAGACGTCTGGCGCCATCCATCAGCCAGCTTCATAAACACCCCAGAGGCCCACGAGCCGAGTGGCCCCACGGCCGGATCAGGGGCGAGCGGGGGGAATCCAGCCGGAGGGGCTGCCGATTGGTGCCCAGAGATTCCAGGCACTGCGGCACCAGCAGGGTCTTATGACAGGTGAGGTGGGAGTTACTCATTAACCCGCACATGGCCCGGCCAGAGACGGTGAGCCGGTGAACTGAGCCCACCTTGGAACAAGAGCACGTTTGTTCGTGCTGCAAGGGCATCGGGGTGCTGGGCTGCAGAGCTGTGGGCGCGCCCTAACGGCTGAGGGCAGCGGGGGGTGCAGGGGCCCACGTCCTCCCCGGGCCTCAGTCCCCTTGGCAGCCATGAAGAAGCTGGTGGCCCCTCCCAGTGGTTCCGTTATTCGGGAGGCCGTTGAGCCCAGCCACGTGGGGCTTGGCTGTGGGAGGGACGCCGTTCATCGACACCCGCTTTGCAGGGTCAGTGTTGAGCACCAACTGGGTGCTCCGGGCAGTTTATAAAGCCTCCCTTTTAGTCTCCATAGCGGCACCAGCCCGCCGACAGGTGTAGAATAGGAAGGTATGGACGCGGCTGGTGTCTGGTTCCCCCAAACAGGGGACTAGCCCAAGTGGCTTGGCAGGCGAGGGGGCCCTAGGGTCAGAACCCACTCAGTGCCAGAGCTTCAGCCCGTTCCTGCCCAGGTGTGAGGCTGCAGGTCCCCCTGGAGCGGGAGACTTCGGCTGAAATGTGCTCAGTGTGCCCTGTGCTGGTCTCTAAGGCCTGCGTTAATCATTGAGCCGGCAGCGTCTGTAGACACCCCTGTTTGGGGGTCGGGAGGGAGCCACACTGCTCACTGGGTGAATGACCTGAGGCCACACCCATCCCGCTGGAGCGCCATGTCCTTGAGAGCTAGCCCAAGGTCAGCTCCAAGATTCTCCCCACTGTATGGCCTATGGCAGCCTCACGCCCTTGCCAGACCCCAGCGAGGTTCTGACTCCACACCCTTCTGTCCCTGAGGAGAACCCTGAATTCAGCTTAGAAGGGGGGGGCGCATGAATGGAAGCTGGCAGGAGGGGGATTTGGGCGTGCCCCCTTGCTGGGTGATCTCTCACCTGTGGGCTCTCCTTGTGACCTCCTCACTTTTGACTCCTCACCTCTGACTTCCTTACCTATGACCCCCCTGCTGGGTGTGACCCCCTCACCTGTGACTCCCCTGCTGGGTGACCTCAGGCCATGCCCCCCTCCCCTGCCTATGCCCTCTCCAGCCGCTGACCCTCACGTGTCCCCTTGGCGTCTGCAGGGCACGGCCTCCGTCCTCCAGCGCCGGTCCCCCAACGAGGAGTACGTGGAGGTGGGGCGCCTGGGGCCCTCTGACTACTTCGGTGAGTCTGGAGTCCCCGCCCTCACAGGGTGCGTGTCTCATTGGGGGGTCCCTGGAAGGGCCCTGAGGTGGAGAGCTGCAGGGGTCGTGTGGGGTGCAGGCCTGGGCACCATCGACGGATGTGTCCCGGACATGGCCGTCCCCCGGGAGGTCATAACCTCGAGCCCCTAGCCACACAAGTTCCGGCAGGGGCCCGGGCTGCAGACCACGTGGGGTTGTGGCAGATTGATGGGGAGCCATGTGTTGGTACCCCAACACTCCATGGGACATGCTTACACTAAACGCGTATTTGTTGGAATCCAGTGGAACTGAGCGGTGTGGGCAGCCCTTGGGGGCCGGGCCCCTGACCACCCTCTCGCCCCCCAGGGGAGATCGCGCTGCTGCTGAACCGGCCCCGGGCAGCCACCGTAGTGGCCCGGGGGCCCCTCAAGTGCGTCAAGCTGGACCGGCCCCGCTTCGAGCGTGTGCTGGGCCCCTGCTCCGAGATCCTCAAGAGGAACATCCAGCGTTACAACAGCTTCATCTCCCTCACTGTCTGAGCCCTGCAGCCCCACGGCCCCGCTTCTGTGTGGTGGCGTGTTCGTTTGTATCCGCGGCCGTGGGGGGTGGGCGCCCCGGCCACGCGGGGCTGCCCCTCCCCCTGGACTCATGTTTGGAATAAAACAGTCATCTTGTGCATTGCAAAAACAAAGGTCCCCCAAGACCCCCAGGCCGAGGAGATGCTGGCGGCCCCTCCCCACATCCCTCCCCCTCTGCAGCTGGTGGGCTCATCTTCTCGGACCCGAGCTTCTGGGGGCACACGAGCCAGCCTGCCCCCAGTGGCCGAGGGGCCAGCCATGAGTCCAGGCTGGCCCAGGTGGGCTGGGTCGCCTGGGTCAGGCCATGCAGGTGCCACCGTGCCCTGGGGCCTTGAATGTCATGTGATGAGGGCTGCAGTCCCCAGTGTGGCTTGCTGACCTGCAGGGGGGGTGTCCCAGAGGGACCGCAGCTTCCAGGGGAAGTCAGGGAGAGAAGGCCCCAGCTCCTGAGGGTCCTGCCAGAGATGCCAGGCATGAGAGCTTCTGGTGACCTTCCCCTGCCCCTGGACCCAGGCTCACAGGTACCCTTAGAGGAGGGACGGGGTCGAGTGGCCTGCCCTTGCCTTCCCTGGAGCTGGGGATGCACCACTATCTGGGGAGCATTGTTCTCCTGGAGTGGGGTGGGGCCTGGATGATGTCTGCTCTTCAACTTGTTTGCAGAGCAGCTTCTTGGAGACTTTCTGAGGGAGGGGAGGGGTTTTCTAGACACATTCTGGATAAAGTTGTGAGAACCAGGGTCCTCTTCTGAGTTGTCCAGCGATGCCCACTGGACATGTGCCCTTGCCCTGGGAGACAAGTGTGGACCAAGACCCCACCCTCCTGAAGCAGGAAAAGTAGCAAACAGCTCCAGGCCCCACACTCTCAAGTCCATGATCCATTGAGTGCCCCTGTAGATGTATTTTCCGTCCAAGCACCCTGCGAGCGAAGAGGCCTGGGGGCCGTGCAGAGCCTCGTGGTGGCTCCCGGTGTCACAAATGACATGGTGCAGTTACCCCGATTTTGCTCTTCCTGTGCACGTCCGGGAGGCTGCTGGTCCCAGGTGGCCCCCGGCCAGCCCTGCCTTTGCCCGTGGATTTTCTGTGATGTGTAAGCCTGCCCTATTTATCGCGACGTTCTGAATGCTGCATGTAGTATTAAATGTGCAATGAAGTATCTCCTCCCGACTTGCGCTTTTAGTCTGAAATCCTTCACAGAGGAGGGTTTTTCTCTCGTTTTTACTGTGGTGAAATACACGTAACGTAAAATTGACCACTTTAACCATTTCTCAGTGTGCAGTTGAGGGGCACGGAGCACGTCCATGCTGCTGTGCAGCCGTCCCCCCGTCCGGCTCCAGAACGTTCCATCCCGCACTCGGGGACCCTGTCCTCGTGATGCACGGACCCCGACCCGTGTCCCCAGCCCCGGCCCCGCCGTCTGCCCTCTGTGACCGTGAGTCTGACGACTCCGGGACCTCGTGGGAGTGGGGTCCCCGTGCGTGTCCTTCCGTGTCTGGCTCGTGTGTTCGGGGCTCGTCCCCGTGGGGGCAGGGGGCAGGGCTCCATTCCTTTTAACAGCTGAGTGATGTCCACTGTATGCACCAGGTCGTGTTTATTCGCCCACCCAACTGCAGACAGGGGGACTCTCCCTTCCATCAGCTTGGGCGTTTCCGTCCTCCGTCCCGTTATCAAGAGCTCATTATGGTGTCGTGGGGATGCAGCGGCGCTGGGTGCTGTGCGGACGGAAACAGGCCCCTTGCCCACCTCAGGTGCTTTGGATGGGCCCGAGTTTCTAAGCCAGCGGGACAGGGGTGATGACAGGGAGCCCACAGGACTCAGTCCTCATGTCCAGACTTTGGAAGCCGCGATTCTGGGCAGAGCCTAACCCCCAGCTGCAGGCCTTCCCTGGCCTCTCCCAGGCCAACAGGCAGGCTTCAGCCCCACAGCAAAACGGGGGCGCACGTGCAGCCCTGTTGTTCGGGAGTGCCGGCGGTGGGTCCGGGCTCCAGCCTTGCTGTGGGGCTGGGAAGGGCCCATGGGAGCAGGGGTGGGGGGGGCCGCCAGCCAAGCTCCTTCTCTCATGGCTGGACAGGGGCCACGCTCCTTGGGAAAGCCACCACCAAGCCAGGAACAGGGACGCCAGCCCCCGTGCAGGTCAGTCTTCCCTGCTCTGGCCATGTGGGAATTCCAGACCAAGGAATGACCCACGGAAGGTCATTGCTGCTGGGCTGGGCAGCAGTTGGTGCGTCCGGGACGGGGAGAACCTTGCATGAACCTTCCCTGAAGTTGTCCCTTGGGCTGGTAAGAGGTGGTGGGTGGAGAAGGGTCTCCATGCACAGAGGATGTGGGTGAGGGGTGCAGCTCTCAGCCCTGAGCCGAGATCCCTCTGGGGGGGCGTTGTAGTGAGACCCCTGTCTGCCCGAGGTTGGGCCGGAGGTGAGGTTCTGAGGAGCGTACCCAGGAGGGCTCACCGGGTGGTGGTTCGCCACGCTAGAGCACGTGGTCTTTCCCGGGAGGCTCTCTTGGACCCCCGTGCTGGGCTGGTTGGCCTGCTCTCGAGTCCCACCACCCCCAGGAGCTTTCTGAAGGACCACAAGTGCTGGCCACCTGAGGTTTCTGGGCTCCTCCCATGGACCCGGGGCCACAAGGTCACCTGGCTACCAGCTGTCCAGGTCGTGTGGTCCCGGACGCTCAGGAAGCCGCGTGGCATCACTGGGAGGAGTGAGGGCCTGGGACTGGCAGCAGTCTTCAAACTGTTTCTCTGCCATGTGTTAGGAATTCAACACACACTTTGCTCAAATTTCTTATTAAAATATGTATTTGAACAATAAAAAACCTTCACACTTCAAAGCACTGCATGATGGAAATGGAACGTGAGCCAAGTATGTCATTTTAAGCATTCTAGTACCACTTCAAAAACAGGAGTAAAAGAAGCAGGTGAGATTCAGGTTTTTGTGCTAAAATAGACATAACATAGAGTCTAGCATTTTAACCATTTTTAAGTGTACGGTCCAGTGGTATTAAGCACAATTGTAACCACCATCACTGTCCGTCTCCAGAACGTTCCACACCCCCCTCAGTGTCCCCGTGGCACACTGACACCCGCCTGCTCCCCTAGCCCCGCATCTGCTTTCTGTCTCTGTAGAGAAGTTTGTTTTAATGATATATTTTATTTAGGGGCACCTGGGGGCTCAGTCGCTTAAGCATCCAGCTCTAGATTTCAGCTCAGGTCTTCGTCTCAGGGTCGTGGGTTCCAGTCCCCCGCCCCCGAGGCTCCACACTGGGCTTGGAGCCTACTTAAAAATAATAGTATCAATAATATATTTTGTTTAACTCAGTATATCGAAAACATTGTCATTTGCCCTTTGAACACATTATCGGTATAGAAAACAGCAGATAAGAGACCCTGTTTTCTGGGAACTGCGTCTTTGGCATTGGCGCACACACTCGTGTAGCGCTTGTCCGCGGGCAGTTTTCCTGCGCCCAACGATGGCTACATGTTGCTGGCGGCTGCCCCTCTGGGCAGCGCAGCTCCGCATGATGTGCTGCCGCGCTCTTGGACCACGGGTTTTTGCAGACATGGGGGCAGCCTCCTCCTGGGCCCTCGGATCCGATCTGTGTGAGCATGGATTCCCCTGAGCTGGTGAGAGCAAAGCAAATGTGGGAATCAGCTGCTTGTGTGCAGCCTTCATCCGCAGCCCCGGACATGCTCTGTCTTTGTCAGAGAGGCCTCAGCGTCCTCCTCAATTGCTTCTGTTAAAGTTACACATGAACCCGTAGGGGACGTACGTGTAAATAACAGTTATCCTTCTAAATCCATTAGAGATATGCCAACATTCTTCACTTCAGCATCCTGTGGCTTAGCACGTGAAGGTCCTGGTTTGAGGCCTGAGCGCCCCGGAGGAAAGGGGGCCCAGGTGCCCGACACCGGTGGGAACCTGGCCTGTTGGGCTGGGCTTGGGAAGCACAGTGAGAAAGACTAGGGGGAAGACTCTGGGCAGAGCGGAGGTGGGTGTCGAGGGACCCACGTTAGGGAGTCAGAACTGGGATTGGGGCCTGGAGCCTCTCTGTTAACCTCTCGCCACGTAACAAATTCCTCAAATTTGGCAACCCCAACCATCACGCGCCTACCGTGTGGCCATGTCTGCGTGCGGGGCAGGCGTGGGGAGCAGCTTAGCTGGGCGGTTCTGGCCTGGGTCCCTTGCAGGGTAGAGGCCAGGGGGCTGGGTCTGCGTCCCCTGGGGCCGCCTCCTAGGGCAGTCCCGCCGTGGGCAGGAGGCCTCGGTTCTGACACGGGACGGCTCCTGGGGCCGCCTCGGCTTCCCCACCATGTGGTGACATGGCGTCTGGCTTCCCCCAGCAAGTGGCCCGAGGGGGCAGTGCCTCTCAGGACCTCATCCTGGAAGTCACTTTGAACCACGGCTGTTCACTAGAAACGGTCACACTTGCAGGGAAGCAGGATGTCACAGAACCTGTGGGTGGCCCCGAGGTCAGGGCTCTCACCGATGGGTCACCCTGGCCACTGCCAGGGCTGTTGGTGGCCAGATGCCACATGAGAAGTGAGCCCTGAGCCGTGCCAGGGGCCCTGGGCACCTCTGACACCATGGCACGGTGGGTGTCCAGACCACCACTGGCAGAGAGGCCACGTTGCACTCTGAGGTCCCGTTTTACAGATGAGAAGCTGGAGGCTGGAGACGGTGGCCCCTGCCCACCAGCCCTCCCCTACCCCTGTCTGCAAGGCTGGGCCTGGCCGGCAATGCCGCCCAGCATCCTCCCACCGTCCTCAGAGACTGGGTCCCGGCGTGGGTGTGGGGCCACATGGAGCCACAGAAGGAAGGCAGATGCGTTGAGCCCCCAGGTCTGGCATTTTGTTACAGCGGCTGGAGGCAGCTCATACAGAGGCCTAGCTGGGATTGGAGCCGAGCTCTGTGCCCATTTTGGAGGCTGGGGTCCACCACCAGCCGTGCTGCTTCGAACTCAGGCCCC